CCCCCCCCCCCCCCCCCCCCCCCCCCCCGCGGAGATGCCTTCTTAGTCACAGCCTAATGGACCGGCTTCAAACAGCATACGCACGACTTCCTGATGACATCAACATACCATCCCGAGTGACTTTACGCGGCTCTGTAGCGGGCACTCCACGACAAAAAGCCGGCGCTCGCCGCCCTCCGGAGACTGATGAGTGCACGAAGAATCCGCTCACAGCTTGCCGTCGCAGCTCTGATCGGCATAAGCTACACTGCCATACCTCCCTCTGCAGAGGTCTAAATATATATTATTCGCTTTCGAATGATCTGACTATGGCGTACCTTCCGGGGGCTACGTCCCACTAGCAAAGAGGATTGGATTGACCGCCTGAATCGGGATGGGTTTCAAGAAAATGTGCCGAAAAGCAGCTTAATCTCGCTTATCATCTGCATCTGTCCATGGTTCTGTCTAGATTCAGGCGTTGACTGCAATCCTCTTTGCTACTGGGACCTCGGTCCTCATGGAACACGGAGATCTGTTCGTTCACGAACTTCGAAAGTTGGCGGACGTACTGGATCACTAAATCGCGACAGTATGATCCCATCTCCCGACTGTATATGACCCGACTCCCATCCACGTTCAATTCATACGCTGTCGGGGTCCGTTTCACGTATGTCAGACCGAGAACTGTTTTGCGAAGTAGGAGTATATGGGTCAGATCCTCACCAGCCCCTATTGTTCATTTCTGACCGTTGATCTTCGTAATCGAGGGTTAAGAATGAATAGTCCAGGGTGGTGGGCGCTGACCCTATGACAAAGTTCAAGGGTGTGTACCCCATGCCGTTATTCGAATAGAAAGCAACCTGAATAGCCCGATTACCAGGAACTACTTCCGGCCGCGCTGACCTCAACTTTTTTTTTTTAATTTATTTTTTTTTATATTGGGGTGATCACAACTGTCTATATTCTTCTCTCAACTTCTGTTTGTTTGCCTTCCACTACCTACTCCTAAGACTATCTAGAGGGGACCCCTGCAAGCATAGTTTTCCTCTCTCTGTGAAGGGGAGATTTCATGTTGCCCCTTGCCCCTAATGGTTAGGGTATAGGGTTGGGGCCGCCAGTGGGGGTCTGGCTAACACAAAGACCGAGACCTGCCAGTATCTGTGCCTCCCTTTCTCATCGTCCCCCACCCTTCATCGAGTAGCAGCAGAGACCTCAACTCGACTTAGGGGCTGATCCCACTTGGAGCTTTTAATTAAACAAGTGGACCTGCCGCAGCTACGCTGCGGCGAAGGACGAGGACAAAAACATTTTGCGAAACACCCCAGCCATCAGTTGGACCCCATCTTTGAAATGTACCCCTAGCGGATGCTGCCCAACTTTGCTAAAATGCCCCGGCCGTTGTCAAGTTTTCGTAGGTGCAATTGCAAAAGGCCAAGCGGATTTGCACACCCGCCTGACAGGGGCATAACACAAATATGTCAGCCCAAAAGGCCATTCCACTGTGCCCATATCTTTTAGGGACATTTTGACATATATCTGAACTTACGGGCGTATTTGGAAATCCTCCCCTCCCCCCAAAAAAGGAGTCTCTCTCTCTCTCTCTCTCTCTCTCTCTCTCACACACACACACACACACACACACACACACACACACACGCATCCTTCCCCTTAAGAAACCTCACAACCTGGCCCTGGGAGGGGTGCTTCCGGTTTCTTTTTTTTTTTTTCTTTTCTTTTTTTTTGTGTGTGTGTGTGTGTGTGTCTGTGTGTGTGTGTGTGTGTGTGAGAGAGAGAGAGAGAGAGAGAGAGAGAGAGAGAGAGAGAGAGAACAGCTAAGTCTCCAACCTTGCGGCTGGCCATGGTACTTCCATAGATAGAATGAGCAAAATCGAATCTGTGTCGTCGCCCGTACGTCGTACGGGGGGTCCCCGTACGGGCCGTACGGACGGACGTACATACGCCCGTACGGCCGTACGGACGCTCCCCGTACGAGCGTGCTACGGGCCTGGGGGGGGGTGCTGGG